TGCAGATCCTTCACTGGGATCCGTTATTGCAGTCTTGTGTACACTCATTTGTGTTAGCAGGTTTTAATGAAGGATACAGACTTTGTGATTGTTTTTGTGGACTGACTAAATTAGATGCTGTGTTTTGCTAAGGAGAGGTTTTTTTAAAAGGTGAGGGAAAGTTGCTATGTCTGAGAATGAAAGTTGTTTATCCCTCTCACTCCCTGAAATTAAGATGTCTTTAATCTGTTTGCTTGGGTACGAGCATCTTTAAAAGCCACACCTACTTTTACGTAAGAGTAGGGGTCATAGGGAAGGAGGTAGATTTCAGGTATAATAGCAAGTTATAAAGTGCCTGGAAATCAACAGCTATCCCCTTAAACTCAGTAATAACAGTTTTCTATCGCATCTTAATCAGCTTTTTAATTTTAGAGCAGAAGGGGAAAATATTTTTTCTTTCAGTACAGTAATATTTCAGTAAAAAAAGCTTGTATCTGCTAAAAGAGCTTTTGAAGTCATCTCTGTTCCTCCTGGTATGCATTAGCTTTTCTAGGTTGTCTTGCTGCTTAAATGCTAAATTTCTGTCCCAATCTCTGCTTTTTCACAAAGCAGCTAAAAATACTGCAGCAAAGCAGCAATCTCTATTACTTTTGCTTGTGTTAATCAGTGGTGTTAGTAGCATCTCAATTCCCACATCAGAAGTGTTACTACATCTGATTGTAGACAGATCAACTAGTAGCAATTTGATGCAACTGTGATTGTGCAATTTTATATACTCTTTTTCCAGTGCGATTACACTCAAAATAACAAACATCTGTGTCTCTTGCCTTTTTGTGACAGACTGAAAAATACCCTGTCCAAGACACAGGAGTACCTAAAGGTAAGTATTGTGAATTCTGTCTATGCAGGTGTCATAGATCTGTGTTGTTACATGCAATGAAACCCATTGGTCTTATCCAACAGATTGAAACACACTTTTTCCTATATGTTTATGCTTTAAATGTAGTGTCGCATTCTCTATTTTTAAGGTCAGTTTGGTGTATATGTAACTTTGGAAATTTCCTTCCAAAGTTTCGTTTTGATCTTAAAAGTCAGTCTAAAACTATCATCATCAGATCTTGGTTCTCAATCTGGAAGGAAAATATAGTGGTGCCATCAAAAAACAGTGTTCAGAGATGGTGGAGACATGATAATGTTAGAAGGTGGCTTTGAAGAGATTACCAGTGCCTTCAGGTTACCAGAAATACAATCCAGAAATACCTTCCCAGTCTCTTGCCTCTGATTGCATTCTCAGCCCTATAACAAATTAACTCTTCATGCTGTCTTTACCTTCAGCAGGTATTAATCCTGTCTGCTTGGGAACCTCATATAGGTCCACTCTGCACAAGCTACAGGCTCTCCTCACTGAAAATGGAGTGAGAGAGTGCAGTTTCTGTATTGCACTGCAGTCAAATACCTGGATTACACAGTGTGAATATCCCCTTTATGGTTTCCTTGACATGTGGGGTGGGGTTTTTTTCTCATCCCGGGCTTCACCGTTGGCTTTTGTCCAGGGAATGCACTGGCAGGGGCTCAGTTGAGCGCTCTGCAGGTAGTGTGTTCTCCATGCTGTGTTGCACAGCAGGTCTGCAGCGGGGACAGACACAGGGAACTATGCAGAAGCTAGTCACAATGGAAACTTTTGCTGAGGAGCGTGAGCGATAATACCACTGGGATTAAAGGAAGTTCAGAGACTGAGGGGCTTGAGGGAGCCAGCCAGAGGAAACTATCATCTTCTTAGAAGTGCTGCTCAGTGGGGAAGGAGAATGTGGGATGAAAATCATTTGAAATCATAAACTACTTTGTGTTTATTTGCAGGCAGGTAGTTTGTTCCTTCAAAATTGTTTATTGTGTTAAGCAATTTCTCTGTAACATTCTTTTCCATGTACTGTTTTTTATTTCACCTGTGACGTTAGTTCACCCTCAAAATTAATTAGATAAATTCCTAAATTTCAGCTTTGTCAAAGTTGTTTGAAATCTGAGATTGCATGTTTTAAATGCATTTAATTTAAAAAGGAAAGCTGAGAGGAAGTAGAAAATTCAGCACTTCCTGTAGAAAGGAAGGAACTTGATTTATTTTTAACTTTAGTTTCTGCTTCCCCTTCCTAAGTGTAAAAAGATGTAAGGACTAATATAGCTTGACATTTCCCCTTTGGAGTCGAAAGTGATAAGAGTACGTCTTAATACTCTGTTAATTTCTGTGATTTAAATTTTTTTCTAAGAATTACTTTCTGTAACTATTTCTGTAAAAATACAGACTTAGAAATATGAATCTGTGAGCTATAAAGCGTTACAGATGTGCAGGTCTGATTCTGTGTAACCCATAATTATGTTTGCTTCAGATTTAATGTTTGAATAGACAGTACATTGGCCTGGGGGAGCAGGCGGAGCTATTCCATTGCTTTTATAGGTTGGTTAATTAATGGACAATTTTGGGGCCATGGATTATTAAAGTTCTTGGCACCCTCTACCAATTATGAGTTAAAGGTGAGTTGAAGGAACTTTTCATCTTGCAGGACTAGGCTTAATGTTTACATCATGTTTTAATTATAATTGGACCACCACTCCAATACGGAACAAATTGCATACATAATGCTTCCACACAAATGAAGTGGAATTTTGATGCCCATACTCTGCATTTTCAGCCAGAAGTTTTTTGTTTTGTTTTTGTTGTCTCTGGACCTACAGTCATAAAGATGATCCTTATTAAACATTTACCCTGCTGGGGGTGGAATACTATTTGTCTTTAAGTTTCAACAGTCTTATAAAACTAGAAAAAGAGGAAAATAATGATTTTGTCTTTTTCTTGCAAGTGTAAGGATGAATTCTTTGATTCAAATAAATTTCTTGAGTGAGATAAGGAAATATGTCTTCTGTAATCTTATGATTCATAAAGATAATAGCTGTTCTTTAATGAAATCTTTCCACTGAACAAACAGGAAATGGAAATGTACCAGCACTACAAACATAGTCACCGCCACGGAGAGTTCTTGAGTGTAAAAGCATGTAGAACATAACCTCTTTTAAGCTCATGTTAGTGGTTGGTCAGCACCTGACCCAGGGGAATTATGCAGATGGTTTGATAATGAGGACCTCGTTAGTTATGCAGAGTGATGAAATTTGTCTGTCTGCACAAGATTCACAAAGGGCTTATGTATCCCTTGTACTCCATTTTGAGGGCTGAAGTTAAGCTTGAAAGGCAAATAGAGTTTGTGCTGTACTGAGGAATGTTGTGCTTTTCAGTTGACTCCCAAGGCAGTTGATGAGCACACTTTGAAATGGATTATTTCAGTGCTTCAGAAAACTCCTGTATAGTACAGAGAAGTAGGATGAGCCTAGTTCACAAAGGGGCAGAATAAAAGATAAATATTTGTGTAGTACATATTTCAACCATTACCATTGTAAGTGTGATAAGAAGAGCAAAGCAAAATTTATAGCAACTTGTGACAGTCGTCTTCAGCCTACATTGAAGTATAGGATCAGTTAATATTCTCAGGTCAGCTCTCTGAAAGAAGAACATGACTCTTACTTCAAAAATAGTGTGGTGTTTGTTGAAAAAACAACTGCTACACTAATATATAATCTCTGCAAGGATTAATTTTCTTTGCAGTCATGCTCTGCATGATTGTTGTAATCTCTGCCGATTCAATATTTGGGGCTTTTAATCCAGCATTTCCCAGTGACTGATCATGATATGGAGTTAAATTTTGTATGCTAGACACTTACATTTTATGCTCAATAGTCTTACTATTTAAATTTGTATTTGGATGGAAGACTAGTGTTTCACAGTCTTTGTCTTAGATGAGGAATACGTAACAGATCAAGTTACATTGGAAATTGCATCTGTGAACATCAAGACCCTTACGTCAGATTCTGGCCTAATCCAACAGGTAAGAAAAAAAGATACCTGAATGTGAAATAAGTTGTTGCTGTTGATTAAATAAGTGTGTTAACAAATAAATGTATTTTCAGACTATATCTGGAGAGCACGGAATTACTCAGTAAAACAGACTAGAAATAGGCTCTCTTTTCAAGAGTTCAATGAAGTGAGCTTTTCCAGAGAAGAGCAAAAGAAAGGTTATTTAATCATTAACGTGTACTTTGTAGTTTAAATAGGTTTTGATTAGTGTGTATATGCTCTGAAGAAGAGCTGACAAACAGTTAAGGCTTTGTCATGCATGCCCTCCCTCTTTCCTGCTAGGCAGAGAATAAGTGAAGAAGTAAGGAATCCTAGGTTTTGGACTCCTTGTGTTTTGCCCTTAGGGAGGCATTTGACTGTTCTGCCTTGACTTTGGGACACTGCTCTTCCCATAGTGGAAACACTCTCCACTGTTGGTGCAATCCTACGTTGCCACAGGGTGGGCAATGCTGAGTGACCCCCATGCTTCATGGTTGCCATCTTTCAAGTGAATGTTGTTTGCTGAATTTCAAATTGATTCTCTTTGGGTTGAGCAGAAAACTTGGAGAAGAGAAATGAATGAGCATTTTCCAGCAAGACGAAGAATTAAAAGGAGTTCCTTATGCCAGAGTCCCAGCTGAATTTCATCAGAAACAAACATGGGTTTGGTATGCATTTCACAGATGATGGAGGTAACGGTGTCATTCCCATCATCAAGAAAAGAGCATTTATTGCCAGCTTACAATCACTATAAAGATCTTTCAGTGTATTAGGGTGTTAATGGTTCTACAGAGCTGGAAAACTTTCTGCTTATCTTCAGACTGTGCGTAGGTTTATGGCTTTGATTAAGACCTGTAGAGGTTGGTTGAATTTTAGTTGTGGGCAAAAAATATTCTTGCTTAATGCCTTCATTTCATGGGGAGTAATGTTACATTGTCTTATTACAATTACAATACAAGAAAATGTTCTTGAATAAACCTGAGTGCATCTGACTTGATAAAAGTGGATAATAACTGATCAGTAAAAATACAAATTTTGAAAACAGATGTATGGCACAGGTAAGTATCCCTGGTTTTCTTTGTGCTTTTTGTAGTACTAGCCACTCTTGTGGTTTTTTTTTTTTTTAATCACAAGACATGAATATAATGACATCTCTTAAAGGCATTTAGGTATTAGCTTTCACAATACAGTTTGAACTTTCGTGGATTGATAAAGTCTGGGAAATGTTACTGAAGCTCAGGACAGCAACTTAGCTACTGCAAACTAAGTGAGCAATATCCACTTTTCCTTTTTTTTTTTTTTTTCCCCTTTTGTTTTCATTTGCTTGTTTATTTATTTTGAAATATCTCTGGGGAGGCTGAGCTCTGATGGGGAGCTCCTCATTCTCCCAGTGAGTTACCCTTCTGGAGGTTTGCTCCTCAGGGCTCAGTAAGAATGTTCTACATTGTTAAGGAATTTGTGGAAATGGAGACAATGAGTATAATCATGATGTCCAGATTTAATTTTTCTTAAACTTTGGGTGCTCACGTGTTGCCATGAAGGCCAAGTTCATGCTTAAAAAGCTCTGTCCAGAGAAAGCTTACCTGGTGCCAGTGGAGAAGTAAACTCCTAGAAGATAATGGCAAGGATTATTCTGTTGCAAGTGGCATATACAGTGTTAGATCTCTCTTGGGCAGACAGCAGAAATTTTATGGAGTGAATTGGTGTTGCGTGTGTGATCTTGCAGTTTTCAGGGAATAAAGAAATGCTGAAAACGGCATGCAAATTTTTCCTTTCCTAACGAAGACTTTTAAATATTTTGGAGATAGTTTACCTTCTTCATAATTGGACTGTGAATGTATGCGTGTTCACCACATGAACTGAAACTGCCTGTATTCTATTTTTAGTGGATATCTTAGAAAAGAAGGTGTAGCAGGTAGGAATAGAATATCTTATTACACTATATTTTTACCCAGTTGTCTTGTGTTTGCATGCACAGCCTGCAAAATGTTAAGAAGCCTGCCGTGATAGTTTTGGAAGAATGATGCAGTACAAAAAATCAACAATACTTTATTGGAGCTATCTAAGGGGAAGATCCCCTTCTGCTTTCATTTTAAGTCCTCAACAGAAGAAAGCTATTTCACCTGGCTCCACACCTGTGTAGCTAAAGTAAGGGCAGCTGCAATTTCCGATGGTCCTAGGATCAAGGTGCTGTCCTTCCAGTTTTCAGACGTTGCTCTCTAAATAATAGAATTGAAATGTTACAACGCATTTTGCAGCCTCAAGCTGCAAAGCAATTTCATTATGTTTAATTAGCAGGCGAAAAGCCACTGAGGGAATGTTTACTTCAAACAGGAGGAGGGTTAGACCTGAGCCAGCAGAAATGTTCAAGTCCACCTGTTGTCTAGAAACCTTCTTATGTGTGTAAAGAAGTTTGTAAAGAAGGCTCCTCCACTTTTCCCAGATCAATGAAACAACCCCTAACTGATGCATGTTACAGGAAAAATTCTTGTTTTTTCATTACAAAGCATTAAAAAAAAAATCTTCTAAATCAAACCTTATTAATTGTTGAATAGCTGTTGAAGGTTTAAGAACAAATTATTCAAAAGATGTAACCCCATAGTGTATCTAATAAAGATGACATTGTTCGATGGATACAACCAACAGGGTGGTTTTGTGAGCCAAAACGTTAAAATGCTGCCTGAAAAGACTGCAGATTGTCAGTAGTTCCTCAAAACCAGATACATTCCCTGTCTGACTCTACATGTAGTTCGGAATTCTTCTAAGTAATCTCCTGCCACATGTAAATTAGCCAAATAGTTATTCTGGTGTTCAAATACATTGTTTTGTTTTGATTTATGTTTGTTTTCTGCTTTGTAGCCAGAAGACAAAGACACACAAAACCATAGTGATGAATCACTTTCAGGTAGTATGTCAGCTTTACTGTTCTACATATTTTATTCCTAAGTTTTCTTTGAAAGTACTTTATTAAAAACTGCTATTTGTCATAACCAAGAACTTCCTGGGTAATTAGTGCTTGTGGAACTCATTTCATTACCAGTGTCATTTACAGCTTCCTTTTTATTCTAAGGGAGTGGTGATGAATAACACAGACCGTACAAAATGTGTAAGTTGGACTTTCCAAATAAATCTAGCACATCCACCTTTGGAAGAAATCTGTAAACAGCTATCAGGAGAGAGCAGAAGCTGGTAGTAGGCTGTGGGGGTTTATCCCATAATGGTATGAGCTCTGCTGGGGATGGGGGTGTGTGTGTGGATGATATACAGCCCTGTTAAGCTAACAGCGAACAACCGAGAATTTCCTGTTAGTAAAGAAGCTTGTCTTATCATGTAGCGTTAGGATCATACAATTAGGTGGGCAGGTCATCATTTGCTCATCTGTATCTAACGCAGGGCATCTTAGAAAAGCAGAATTCTTTATAATGCTTTTGCTAGTCTGCACGCAGTATAGCACAAGAAGCAGGTTGGTTTAGTTTTGTTTACCTATAACTGTGCCCTGTGTTTTCTTTACCCCTTCTTCCCTGCTTCTATTGGAAGATAAAACTTACTCTGGCATCCTTGCAAAGCAGAATAAGATGAAATTCAGATAGGGTGCTCTCCTGCCCTTTGAGCTCAGCCAGAACTTTGATTGGATTACATTAATTTTGCCTTGTTTGTATAACTGGTGTGGGTGAAGCAAGCAAGTTTTGTCTTACTTCAGCAAGAGTTTAGGGTTCACAAGAAGAACAGAATAGTTAACATACATATTTCTGTAGAGAACAGCTGCAAGGCCTGTAGAATACCTGTGAGCAAAGATGTCACCAGAACATGTTTCCCCTTAACAGGGAATCTAAGCATTTGTATGAAGTTATGTGTCTGCAGCAGTGTTGTTGCTGCATGTCCTAACTCGTTGAAAACTTCAGAAGTTGTCTTTGGCCTGCTAAAAAAGCAAGCTAATGAGCAATGTTACAAAAATAACAACAGCTTGTTCTTCCCTTAAAAACAAAAAACACAGTGCATGCAGAAGCTACATTCAGCTCACAATTTTACTGTCTTTCTGAGATTTTCACACAATCTGACAATAATTACTGCAAATTAAAAAAAACCAAACCAAAACAAAACAAAACACCCAAACAACAAAAACCCAACAAAACAACAAACCAAACCCAAAACCCCTCAACCTTAACAGATGATGTTGTCTGTATGAGTAGGTGGCACGAAGTACCAGATTTGCCTTTTGCCAGAGATAGAGTTCAGGTCTCTTAGACCAGCACTCATCTGGCACTTGTAAATTGTGTGTCACCATTTTCTGTTGTTTTTAATCTTGTGCGTAATATCAGTTTTCTTATTGTAGTGTCCCTTTCTCAAAAAGTTTCATCCCAAGTAGGACCAGTTACTTCCCTATTTCAAGCTGTACAGTGAGGCTGCAGGGCAGAAGCTTTAAAAAGTGTTTCTGGGCTGTGTCCATTATCTACTACTCTTTTGAAGGCGGGGAGAAGTTGGTATCTCTAAAAGGAGCGGGGAGGGTTAAGGTCATATCTGCAGTCAAAATGCCCAATGCCCTGCACCACCGCAATGTTAAAGGTCTTGGTGTTAGTGTTTAACTAGAAGTATGACTAGAACTGGTTTCTACATGCTTTTATGGGTTATTAATATATAATATAGTCTGATAGCACCATGTTGTTCACAATGTGCAGTTGTGTGTGGGAGATCTCTAAATGGCAATTTTTGGTATTTGATGCAGATTTTAGCACATACCACCACCTACTTCCAGCAACTTGGTATTTTTATTTTTCTCACACATGTAGGAGTATGCACTTTATTCGTTTCCATAATGTATATTTAAAATAGGCTTGCTTGGTAGAACAGGGACAGTTGTTATTGTAAGAGCCCTTACAAAGCAAAGGAACATTTCCACTTTTTCATTGTGTTAAAGTACTAGATGTTAGTTGTGTTTGCAGCTATCAGCAGAGATTCTCCTGGTGCAAATGTTTCATGTTGTTACGAAGGCAGCAGCTCAGAAGCGCAAAACTTTTTCCTTCGTCCTACAACACGTATATGAGATGCACCAAATGTGCACATAATCCTGATGGTGATGTAAGCAGCGTTTATGGCAGATTCGAGGAAGCGACGTAGTTCCCAAAAAGAAAGAAAAAAGGGGAATATCCCAGCTCACACACTGGATTGAATTGCATGCCTTTTCTCTAAAAGTATAAATACGGTACTTTCAAAATTATTGTCCTTTTGATTATAGCCACTGAGCATAGTGAAAAGAGAAGTCTTAGAAAGTTAATTTCTTGAGTACTTCAAAAGGAAAGGCATTACATGTCACTATTCTGACTTTTTCAGAAATGATTCGTGGGAGCATAATACTCTTCAACCCTTTTTGCTTTTAACTTTCTGTTCCCACTGAAACCACAGCAACAGATCCTAACTTCTCCCCATCTAATGGTTTTCACTGCAGATCTGAAGAAAACCTGCAAGGAAAATGGCACCTGCTCCTTGTGCTTATTCCGTGCACCGACCATCAGTGACATGCTCAATGATGAGGACTTGTTGTACGCAGTGAGGCTAAAGCTGGATCCCTGCCACCCAACGGTGAAAAACTGGAGAAATTTAGCCAGCAAGTGGGGGATGACTTATGATGAATTGTGTTTCCTTGAACAGAAGCCCCAAAGTCCCACCTTGGAGTTCTTGCTACGGAATAGCGACCGAACTGTGGAGCAGCTGATTGATCTCTGTAAATTTTATAAGAGAATTGATGTTGTGAAAGTGCTGCTGAAATGGGTGGAGGAGGAATGGCCCAAGAGAGGGAACAGAACTTACCAGAATGACTTCTAGGTCAAAGAAAGTTGTTAGTCCATACTGGGACTGCTGTTGTTAGTTAGTTAGAAAGTTGTTGGTCTGCTGGGACTAGCTGCCACTAGTACATGGGAAGTTTCCCTTGCAAGAGAGAGAGCGCCTGTACTGACGGTTGGTATACTGTGTAAGCTTTACGTACTGCATACACCTATGTGTGTTCTGTGTCCTCAGAGTTGCAAAGATAACCTTCCAAAAACGGGTGGAGTAATAATGCAGGTTGAGTTCTTGAGTCTGCAGATGGCTTCAGTTTCTTTGCTGCTGTTCGTAGGCTTTGTAAGCAGAAGAGGAATGAAAAGCCAGACCACTGGTTTTACTGCAGCGGTTGTGAACCATGTCAGTTGCGTGCTCTTGTTATTGGGAAAGCCACAATTAGAAGGCAAGTCTCTTGGCCTTTCTGGCAACCCTTCCACAGTTTTATATGTTCTACCTAGTTGAAGATGAGGGGTTGTTTTTTTTTTTCTTTTTTAAAAAAGTATTTTTAAAGCTTTATGATACTGTTTTCAGCACAGGAACACCTCAGTGTTCCAAGCAGTAGTTTGGATTTGCATATTACAATTAATTCAATGTTTCAACATCACATTCAGGCAAATTAAGCTTTAAATCTCTTTTATAAACAAGGATAGATGTTAAACAAAATAATTATTTGCATACTACTACATCATAGGGCATATATTTGTTATAGAAGAAATCATGCAATTCAGACTTTCTAGCCCATAACCACTAGGGACCAAAAAAACCCCAATTAAAATGCTTTATATTAAAATTGCTTTCCAAAGTTTTGAAGACACTGTTTATCTCAAGTGCCTCTCACTTTGCAGTGTGAGGTGATGGCTAATGCCTCACCCACAGTATATCCTTAGTATTGAATGTAACTTCCCTTTTCACAGGCTGTGTGTGGTTTTCTGTACATATCTGTGGGTTGACCTACTTTCTGTCCCCCACCAAAGTAGTGGCACACTTGCGTGAAACATTGATTAAACCCACTCTAATGGGAAATTAACAGGTGAATTCATCTACAGTCCAGATAGATGATTATTATAGCATTTATAGACTGATGTTTCTCAAAGAATTTTGATACTCTGAATTACACCGTTTATATTTGAAGTATTTTAGAAATTGGTCTTTTTCTTACCATTCTTCTGTGTTCTAACGTTTTAAAGAAACTCCTGAAAAATCAGTATAAATACAATGTATAAAGTACTTATAGCTATAATGCCACACACAAAAATGTTGAAACTTAAAAATACTTCTAGTTGTAACCCTTACTAAAAGCATCTCAGACAATACTAGTATGTACATAGCTGTATATACCAAAGCACTGGTGAACAGTATGTCAAGATGTGGGGCAAAACTAGAATGGGGTACAAGTTCATGCACTGTTTACTTTTCTTGAGTAGAAATTGCTAGGAATTAGTAGCAAAGCTGAGGGAAGTCTAATGCTGTATACTGATTTTCTTACTGTAAGAGAATGAAAAGGGACCTCTAGTAATACTATACTATAGATACTGAGTAATATCGTTACAGAGGAGCTAGAAGGAAAGACTAACATTTTCAATATCAGGCAGTAGTTCTGGGGTGACACAAATTAGCTTTATTTTAGTGACTTCAAGAAGCTGAAGATCTAGTTTCAAGGTGAAAAGACTGACCTAAATTTGAGGTTTGATTTTTTTTTTTTTTTCTTTTTTTAAAAGCTTGTGGAAGACTGGAATTTTTAATAACTTTTTTTAACCATTTCTCAAAAAAGCTGCTACTCTTTAGAACAGTTAAGTTTTCTAGCCATATTGTAAAGAGGAAATTGTACTGCTGTATCTTATTGGCGCCGCAGTTCAAATGTTTCATGGTCCTCTTCTAGGTACAGGGTGTTCCCGATCGATGTCTGTCAACTCTAACTTTTGCAAATAAACTTCTCTCTTTAGTTAGGAGCTCTAGAATTGGCTTTGAGGACTTCTGCTGTGGCTGGGCTGCCTGCTATTTTCAATTCCTACTGTGGCATCCGCTGCATATGTGCAAATAGCTCGTGATGTAGCTTGTCTAACATAATTCCCATACTTTGGGCCTGCTATGTGCATCATTTAGGATCATGTGTCTATGTGTTGAGTTGTTGTTCTGAGTGATGAGTGCTGGCATGTATGCCAACAGCTTTTCTCTCCCATAATGTACCACAGCTATATGTCTGTGGTATTATAGTATGCTCTGCTTTGGTAGATCCAGTCCAGCAAGGAGCTGGAGCCCTCGCCTAAGACTCATGATGGGAATATGAAATGATACAGCAGCATTTCTGAATCAAGATGTTCAACTGAAGTCTACATGTTTTCCTGTTTTCTGGCTAAAACTTGTAAAATTTTGAAGAAACACTGTTGTCTTTTGGAAGTGAGTTCTGATCTCTTGAAGCTCTTGAAAAGTCTATGTCAGCTGCAAGGATTCATGTCTCATGGAAATAAAGCCACTTCTGAGAGTTTGTGGGTGGATTCTGTATAGATTCAGCACTGAAGGTTGAAAATGTTAGCCTTAAACTTCATCACACACTGGATTACTCATTAGAATACTTGAAATACTGTTTTCCTCTTTGTATGGCATGAACTGAGATGTACACACTATTTTTTAGTTATATCTGTTTACAAGATACTGGGTCTGAGCGTTCAGTTTATTCTTATATCTACTGTTACAATTATACTATTTTTAGAAGGAATATAGATTGTCGATGTTTGACTTTATTGTATTTGTTTTTATTACAGCTAGGAAAACAGCTGTTTTCCTTCTCACCAGTCACCTTGGAACCACTGAACTATCAACTAGTTGTGCTGTGTAAAAAACATCTTGTATGCAAGATTCATGGCATCATAAAGCACCTATGTTTGCAACAAATACTGCTGTTCAAGAAAGGAAGATGCACTTTTAAAAATCTTTTCCATATGAAAAATGAGTTAATTTTGGTAAGATGATGAACAAAGACGTTTATCTAGAAATTTGCAGTGAAGTTACTAACTACAGAGGTATGAAACCTACACTGAGTGAACTCTTCCTTAATTAATAACTAATCTGATAATGAAGGTTAGAGAATCACATGGACACTAGACTACCAGTTTTGTTCCATTATCTCTTCTCCTATTCCCATATGAGACCCACCTTCCCTTTAGGGATTTCCAGTTCTTTGGCTGCCATCTCTGAGCCTGCAGGATAATCAGTGGCCCTTCCCATCCACTTTAGCTTCTACAAAGATGTCCAAACCACTGTATTCTTTCATTCCTGCAGCTTTATCTAAGGCACAATGAGCCCAATAACTGTTCTTCAACAGCAAAGGTGCAGTCCTGTGCTCCAAGAGCCCCTAGTTTTGCTGTGAGGTCAACTCTGGGGCATCCCCAACAAAACGGCGACAGTTTTCCAGTTACCTTACTAGCTGTATGCAGTTCCCTTTGATCTGTGGAGAGGAATGCAAGATGGGCGTGGGGCTGTCCTTTGGAAGCCTGCTGTAAAGGATAGGGTATTCAGCATGGCCCCAGGTGCTTACTTGGAAGTAAGTTGTACAGAAACTCTAAACCATACTTCTTCCTGAATCACTACTGAATAATGGAGAGCTGCAGCTCAGTCTGGGCAGTGCTTTGTGCAAGAGACTGCATATTTTTCACTCTCAAACTGACTGCCTCCCACAGTTCCAAGTCAAGCTGTTAGCAAGTGGAAAAAAATGTAAATTCTGCCTTATGGTGGTTTAATTTAGGGTAATGCTGTTGACTTGTGGCCAGACATAGTTGGAAATTATTTGTCAGACAGCAGAATTGTTTAAACAAGGTCAAAGAAAGTGCATGGCATTTATAATAATTTAAAGAGCAGCCTACTTCTGTAATATTTGGAGCATATCGTGTACTTCTGTCCATTGAGGAAAAGCAATTAGTTATTCAAACTAATTTCAGTATATCTTTTAAGTCTTTGGACAGTAGTGCAGAGCACCATTAAATGAGAACTTGGGTTTGTTGCCTGTTTTGACAGAAAAGGGCTTTTCCTATCCCCTGAGCTCAGCTAGTCCTGATGGCGTGGCTATGGTCAGTTGTTGGCCTTAGCTGGGTAGGGAAGGTATGGATCTACTGGTCAGACAAGCTGAACATGAGCAGCACTAAGAAAAATTTATTTTGGAAGGTGGAGTCTGTAGTATTTGTTTGCTTGTACCTTGGCCAAGGACTGGGACTGACTCCATCTTACAAGAAGCTGATGGCAAAAAGGAGTTGACAGACATCTGAAAGGCTTGCCTGTACCCTCGGGGCGGGGGTCAGGGGGGGTGGGGTGTGGCAATTAAACAGCCGGGCAGACTTAGAGTTAGTTTCATCTCTGTATTTTACCTTTGTAAAATGGTTCTTGATTTCAAAGGCAGGTCGTTGGGGTAAATGTATATTTGTTACTGTGGTAATGGGAGTTGCATGAGAGTCTTGAATGTGAGAAAGAGCAGTGCAAGTCTTGTTAGGATGGGATCAGCATGATTGGCTTTGGCCTTTTTGAACTCCAACGTGAAAGAGTATCAGTGTGTTGGGTTTGCTCAGGCTTTGTTTACTGACCTTCACAGTGCTATGAAGATGAGAATTAAAATTGGAGAAGAGATAGGAAAGAAGTAGCTTCTGTCAGAAATAATTAATAAGAAGTAATGTCTATAGTGTTAACTTTCCTTTGATGTATGTACAGAAATAGTTTCGTTGACTGAAAATTGTAGTTATTTACAGCTATGTCTTTCAACTTTTTTTGAGAAAATTCCAGAAACACGGCCAAATGTCTTAGTAACTTGGAGAATAAATGTGTTCCGTGTATCTGTGTACAGCGTGAGATAGATATGCAACTTGATGTATCCACATGAAGGTTTTTTTTTTTTTATTGTGAGTTTGCTGCAAAATTTCCAAATATTTAGTTTGGGAATGCTTTTTGTCTCCAAAAACAACCGAAGTTTCATGTTGTTGGTGACATGAAACACATTTACACCAGCAAAAAGTTTCTTAACC